CTTTGGCACAGACTAATGCTCTTTTTCCCTAGAGGACGTTTTCCCAGGCAGAGGCTGCCACCATTTCATCAGACAACTCCCAGGAACAATAGCCAAACACAGGTGGGGTTTTTGAATAACTATAAGAAAGTGCCAGTGTGTTTGGGTGTTCTTCCTGAAGAGTTAAATAAGAAAGTGAAAAAATACCAGCCTTTTAACCACACAGCAGAAAACGGTGACTCTCATTCATATGTTTCCTCTCTCTCGTGTTTTCTTGCTGTTTTCCCTTTTCAATCAACTGTTTAAATTGAATGATCATTGTGAACTACAAGTTGTTCTACCAGAGACAGCATAAAGAACTGCAACTGTACTCCAGTCTGAATGATTTGCAACCTCCACTGGGGAAATTCCAACCAATCGTATCATAGAATCATAGAATATCAGGGTTGGAAGGGACCTCAGGAGGTCATCTAGTCCAACCCCCTGCTCAAAGCAGGACCAATCCCCAATTAAATCATCCCAGCCAGGGCTTTGTCAAGCCTGACCTTAAAAACTTCTAGGGAAGGGGATTCCACCACCTCCCTAGGCAACGCATTCCAGTGTTTCACCACCCTCCTAGTGAAAAAGTTTTTCCTAATATCCAACCAAAATCTCCCCCAGTGCAACTTGAGACATTACTCCTTGTTCTGTCATCTGCTACCACTGAGAACAGTCTAGAGCCATCCTCTTTGGAACCCCCTTTCAGGTAGTTGAAAGCAGCTATCAAATCCCCCCTCATTCTTCTCTTCTGAAGACTAAACATCCCCAGTTCCCTCAGCCTCTCCTCATAAGTCATGTGTTCCAGTCCCCTAATCATTTTTGTTGCCCTCCGCTGGACTCCTTCCAATTTTTCCACATCCTTCTTGTAGTGTGGGGCCCAAAACTGGACACAGTAATCTAGATGAGGCCTCACCAATATCCAATAGAGGGGAACGATCACATCCCTCGATCTGCTGGCAATGCCCCTACTTATACATCCCAAAATGCCATTGGCCTTCTTGGCAACAAGGGCACACTGTTGACTCATATCCAACTTCTCGTCCACTGTAATCCCTAGGTCCTTTTCTGCAGAACTGCTGCTGAGCCACTCAGTCCCTAGTCTGTAGTGGTGCATGGGATTCTTCCGTCCTAAGTGCAGGACTCTGCACTTGTCCTTGTTGAACTTCATCAGATTTCTTTTGGCCCAATCCTCCAGTTTGTCTAGGTCCCTCTGTATCCTATCCCTACCCTCCAGCGTATCTACCACTCCTCCCAGTTTAGTGTCATCCGCAAACTTGCTGAGGGTGCAATCCACACCATCCTCCAGATCATTTATGAAGATATTGAACAAAACCGGCCCCAGGACCAACCCCTGGGGCACTCCACTTGATACCAGCTGCCAACTAGACATGGAGCCATTGATCACTACCCGTTCAGCCCGACAATCTAGCCAGCTTTCTACCCACCTTGTAGTGCATTCATCCAGCCCATACTTCTTTAACTTGCTGACAAGAATACTGTGGGAGACCGTGTCAAAAGCTTTGCTAAAGTCAAGGAACAACACGTTCACTGCTTTCCCTTCATCCACAGAGCCAGTTATCTCATCGTAGAAGGCAATTAGATTAGTCAGGCATGACCTTCCCTTGGTGAATCCATTTATCTAAACCTCTGCTCCCTCCGGTTGTTCTGTAGGATAGTGCTGCCTGGTTTAGATCTGGTTTCTTGAGAGAAACAGGCACACTGCTGGGTTACCATCTTTAACTCTTTTTAAAAAAAGAACCCCACAAGCTTATTCTCTCTTTCCCTAGAGGAATATTTGTCAGGAAATTGCTGGTTCTCTGCCCCCATTTCCCCAGAGAGTCTCAGGAACAGTAGCCAAACACAGCTGGCACTCTCTGAAGAACTAAATAAGAAAGTGCTGCTCTGTTTGGATCGTGTTGGCTCCCTTGGGGTCCCACCTGTCAAATTCTTCAGATCTCCAATAGTTTTGTGGAGAGCATTTCTCATCGATGGAGAGAGGAATCCAACTCAACCGAATGGCGCAGCCCTCATCTACCACCCCAATGGGAGCACTTGCTGGCTAAGTGCTGTTGAGGCAACAGGGAACTCCTTTCGAGGCATAGGTTAAGGGAAAAAATACAGCATGTTTTCTACACAGCAGAAATCCATAATCCTTATTCTGATGTTCTCTCTCTCTCTCTCTCTTGATTTCCTCTTCTCCATCCATTGAATCTTTATATTCAATTATCATAATGAACTGCAGGTAAAGTGACCCTGAGACAGGGGAAAGAACTGCACCCACGCTCCACAAGTGACTCTGGAGCGACCTCTACCCATGATATTTTGGCCTTTTCATATAACATGTTCTGTCTGCCTAAGACATGGGCACCAAAAGCCAGCTCCATCTAAGTCTTCCCTTTTCCTCATCAATAAGCGGCAGGGCATGCCGGATGACCTCAGCAGCATCACCCAAGGCCAATATCAGGGCATCTACCTCGTATTCCCGTGCTTTCTCTGTTAAACCTTACAGAATTATTCATATAACCGAATGCTGGGGCATGGCTGCACCCTTCGCTTTCTTTTCTCCTCAGGGGTCCTAGTCCTGGGTTCGTTCATAAAGGCGGCTGGGGCCTCCACCCAAGCAAACCTTTCCTAATGCTGAGAACCCAGAGGGCCTGTGACAGGGATGCTCCATTCACTGCTAAAATGGCACCTCCTCTGGTCACTCTGGGGAATAGCACACAAGGTCAATGCTCCCGTCTCGCAGTTGCATGCCATCTCTCTGCCTTTCTCTCTGGGTCTACCGCCCCTTTCTTGCCCCAGGAGCTGCTGCTGCCTCTTCGTGACTTAGCCCTCTGGGCAGGTCATCAAATGTCTTCCCCTTCTGAGGCAGAAAAGTATCTTCCCACAAACAGGCTCCTATTCACTCCCTCACTGTCACTCTATTCCAGGTTCTGGCTCAGGGACCCTCTAGCCAGCAGTCAAGGACTATTCCTTTCTAGACCTTGCTGCTTTTCCTCGAGCCCTGTCCTACCTTCCTGGCTTTGCCAGCCCAAACGCACCTCCCTTCTCCCAGGGAGTGACTGTAGACTTTCCCAGCAGCCCCCTTCTGCAGCCAATTTCCTGCCTTTTATAGCCTTAGCCCAGCTTGTTCCCCCTCAGCTGGGCCCCTTCACTCAGGCAGGGGGTTACTTCTTCACCTGATTCCCCTCAGCTGTGGCTTGTTGGGTCAATTAGCCCCCTTCTCAGTCTGCCTTAACCTTTTCAGGGAAAGTGTGGGGTGAACACCCCATTACAGGGTTTTATCCCTTTGGAAAATATTCAACACCCCATTTTGCACAGAGGAATGTAAGTGAGAGCACACAAAAGTAAAATAGATATCACAATTCCCAGAGGAATAACCCAGCAACTGGAGCTCTATTAGATATGGGGAACTGTGATGGTGGTGTACTCTTACTCACCTGGGTGACGCCCCCTTCTGGTGATTCTGGGGATTAGCCCAGCATGGTTCAATGCTGCCTTGCACCTTTCCTTACACTAACAGAGGCATCGTACAGCCTCTCATGACTCAGTACTCCAGCCAGGTCTCTTCTGTGTTTTCCCTTCCCTTCAAGCTCTCAAAGTCTCTCTCAGGGGTGGGGCAGTCCTCATACCCACTGCCCTGACTATTTCACTCCTGCAGTGACTCAGGCGGTCTTCCCGTTTGCTGCCACTCTGCAGTGTATAGAAGGGGAACCCAGGCCCATCCTCTACTCTGGCTTCCAGTCCAGAGCTCTACTGTGAGCAGATAAGATCTAGTTCTTCCTGAAAAAGAACATAAGAATGGCCCTACGGGGTCAGACCAAAGGTCCATCTAGCCCAGTATCCTGTTTTCCGACAGTGGACAGTGCCAGGTGCCCCAGAGGGAATGAACAGAACAGGTAATTCAAGTGATCCATCCCCTGTTGCTCATTCCCAGCTTCTGGGAAACAGAGGCTCGGGACACCCATTCCTGCCCATCTAGCTAATAGCCATTGATGGACCTATCCTCCATGAATTTATCTAGTTCTTTTTTGAACCCTGTTTTGGTCTTGGCCTTCACAACATCCTGTGGCAAGGAGTTCCACAGGACTGTGCATTGTGTGAAGAAATACTTCCTTTTGTTTGTTTTAAATCTGATACCTATTAATTTCATTTGGTGACCCCAAGTTCTTGTGTTATGAGAAGCAGTAAACAACACTTCCTAATCTACTTTCTCTATCCCAGTAGTGATTTTATAGACCTCAACCATATCCCCCCCTTAGCCATCTCTTTTCCAAGCTGAAAAGTCCCAGTTTTATTAATCTCTCCTTGTACAGAAGCCGTTCCATACCCCTCATCATTTTTGTTGCCCTTTTCTGAATCTTACTGCTCTCTTCCCTGGACTACTTCCCACCATACTTCTTTGAGCGTTTCCTTCACCAGCCTTCCTAATCGGGCTCCTCTCTCTGAATTCTTCCTCATGGATTCCTATCCCCCCTTCCTTCTCCCTTACCTCATAGACTGCAGGCTTCCTCCCTGCTTCCCCCTCCCCCCCCCCTCCCCCCCCGGCGACAGTGTCACCAGCCTCCTGGTTTTATAGAATCCTTCCTGTCCCCTCACAGGCGAGTGCTTCTCTTTAGTGCTGTCCACACATCATCTCCGATTGCAGCTTTGTTCGGCTGATTTGGCCCACCTGGCCTCATTCTACTTGTTCAGGGCTGGGGTGGCGACTACATCCCATCACAGGAACTCAGGGGTAAGGGACAATGTGAAAAGGGGTCAGAATAATAGAAGACGAGATGAACAATACATGAACTCACCCCCTTCCAACACTGACAGCAAATAGATATCACCTGGTTCTCTCCCAACACCTGCCTAGGCAAATGCTGGGTTTAGACTCAAACTTGATCTATGCTACCAATTTATATTGGTATAACCATGTCTCTCAAGGGTGTGGAAAATCCACTTCCCCAGCAATGTTCTTATATTGACCTGACCCGCAGTGTAGACAGTACTCTGTTGACACCAGGGCTCCTCCTAATCTTCTCCCTTGTGTTCTTCCGTCAACGTAGTTTCCGCCTCTCAGGGAGAAGCTGTCCTGTCAGCATAGGGAGTAAAAAGAAAAGGAGTACTTGTGGCACCTTAGAGACTAACCAATTTATTTGAGCATGAGCTTTCGTGAGCTACAGCTCACTTCATCGGATGCATATCGTGGAAACTACATAGGGAGTGTTTTCACTGAGCACTACAGTGGTTCTGCTGCAGGCTAGGATGGGTGGTACAGACCTGAACTCGGTGGCGGGAATAAAACACAATAATCAAATGAATAAGCAGGTGTGTTCTTACCAATTATCTACACCCTAGGATAGTAAGAGCATCCTCATGGCTCCCTGGTCTGGAGTCAGCTGTGCAGTTAGCCTGGCTCTCGGTAGCCAAACCTTCACGCTCTCCTCAGTCTCCTGGCTGTCTGGTCTCTGCTGAGATGACACTGTTCAAGGTCTCAGAAATCCCTAAAGATTTTCCTAGGGTGGGAATGTAGAGAGTAGAAGGCTTCTCTCCGTCTGGGATGCTTCTCTCTCTGCTACATTCCAAAAAGCAGCCAAAACACAAAGTAAAACTAAACCCTTTGTCTCTGAGTTCTGGCTTACGATTGATTCCTGTAGTAGCTTCCAGCTTGTTCAATCTCCGCCCTGGACTCTAGACAGCCTGGGAATTGTAGTCCTGATCCTCTGCCACCATTACTGCTGTCATCCAGGGTTCAGACTTCAGGTATTTCAGGAGCACCCTCTGCAAGATGAGAGTCACCAGCGTAGAAATGCAGCCTCGGCTCTACAGGAAGGGTTTCTGGTTTTAATCAACAAAAATCAATCATTGTTTATCCAATAAATGCTGGAAATGGTTACTCCATTCGTGCTGACTTCATCCCTTTCCCAGTGCAGTTTGTTAATAGGTCAGGTGTGGCCAAACCAAGGATCAAGAGCTGCATGTGGCTCTTTTACAGTTAAAGTGCGACTCGCGGATTACACCCCCCCATGGTCCCCAATTCTCTGCCTATTAGAATGGGGGGGGCGCCACACGGCTGCCATCCCCCCTCCAAGCCCTGGATCACTGGAGTGGGGGAGCGGGTGGCATGCCCTGGAGCGCCGGGTGGCCGGGAAGTGTGGGCCCACCCTTCTCAGACCCGGAGCGCAGGCCAGCCACCTTTAGCTCCGTCTTTGGGCCCTGGTCACGGGGGGAAGAACCCCCCTGCCTCGCCGCACAGCGCCGAGAAGCAGGAATGGGTCTGCGGACAGAGTCTCGATGGAGCCATCCAAGGCTGTTTGGGGAGGCTCGGCATTCCCTTCCCTTCGATACCCATTGCCCATGCATCCAGTGTTTACTGACAAAACAGTACCCAATTCCTTCCTGGCCTTGTTTCAATTTAAAACTGATCTGTTTTCAGACTCTAATACAGAGCCAGTTTATTTCCTTCGGGAAACACTGTCCACTGGGGAGTAAAAATCCCAGCAACAATTATCAGTTGAAGTCTCTGGGGTCATTTGGAAGAAATTAGATTCCTCCTTCCTTGACAATGTCATTGATTTCTTTTCAAGAGGTTGGAGAGACAAGTAGCCCCATTTGATGTCAGGCATGTACCGGCACGTATGAGAACTTGGCATCTTTATTGGTGTGGTAGGGTTTCTCTTCCTTTCTATTCAAGCTTTCTTTACTGGTAACATAGGATACATCTACACTGCAACTAGACCCCATGGCTGGCCCATGCCAGCTGACTTGGGTTCACGGGGCTCGAACTGCAGGGCTGTTTCATTACTGTGTAGATTTCTGGATGTGGGCTGGAGCCTGAGCTCTGGGAACCTCTCACTCGGCAGGGTCCTACAGCCCAGGCTCCAGCCTGAGCCTGGAAGTCTACACAGCAATAAAACAGTCCCACAGCCCGAGCCCTGCAAGCCCGAGTTGGCTGGCACGGGCTAGCCGTGGCTTTTCCTTTGCTATGCAGACACACCCATAGGGACTACAGTGCTGGAACAGACCCGGTCCTATGCCCAGGTGCATTAGAAGAGGGTGAAAACACAGAACCTTTTGGGGCCCTTGATGATAGTTCGTTTATGGCCTGAGACTGAGTGTCATTAACATAAACATTTTTATCAATGACTGGGAAGAATCCATAAAATCATCGCTGAAAAAGTCTGCGGATGACACATGACTTGGGGGAGTGGTAAATAATGAAGTGGACGCGTCACTGATTCAGAGTGATCCGGATCACTTGGTAAACTGGGAGCAAGCAAATGATGTGTGTTTTAATCTGGCTAAATGCAAATCTATACATCTAGGAACCCAGAATGCTGTCCATAGGTACAGCATGGGGGACTTCACCCTGGGGAGCAGCGACTCTGAAAAAGTTTGGAGGCTCGTGGTGGATAATCAGCTGAACACAAGCTCCCAGTGCGACACTGTGGCCAAAAGAGGGAATGCGATCCTGGGATGCATGAGCAGGGGAATCTGGAGTAGGCACAGAGAGGTTATTTTACCTCTGCATTGGTCACTCGTGTGACTGCTGCTGGAATCCTGTGTCCAGTTCTGGTGCCCACCATTCAAGAAGGATGTTGATAAATTAGAGAAGGTTCAGAGAAGGGCCACAAGAATAATTAAAGGGTTAGAAAACCTGCCTGAGAGTGACAGACTCAAGGAGCTCCATCTATTTAGCTTAACAAAGCAAAGGTGACTTCATCCCAGTCTCTCACTACCTCCGTGGGGAACAAATATTTCACAATGGGCTCTTCAATCTAGCAGAGAAAGGTTGAACCCAATCCAATGGCTGGAAGTTGAAGCTAAACAAATTCAGACTGGAAATAAAGCACACATTTTTAACTGTGAGAGTAATTAACAATTGGGACAACTTACCAAGGGTCGTGGTGGATTCTTCATCCCTGACCATTTTAAAATCAAGATGGGATGTTTTTCTGCTCGAGGGATTATCATGGGGCAGTTCCACCGGGGGTGAGTCTATATGACCACAGTGGTCCTTTCTGGCCTTGGAATCTATGAATAACTGTGGGGCATCTGGCTCCTCTGCTTTGCACTTTGTGTGATCATTTGCACTCGTGTAAAATGCCACCCCTTTGCACACATGTAAAGACTACAGAAAGTGAAGAGCAGAAAAAAATGCAGTCCCTTAATTCCTTTTTTCCCCTTCTAAATTACGAGATTCATTTTACATGGTGTTAAAAATCTGGACTGGACTGATGCTAATAATATACAGCTCTTTCATCCACAGATCTCAAAGCGCTTGACCAAGGAGGTGAGTATCATATTGCCCTTTATACAGATGGGAAACTGAGGCACAACTAGGGGAAGTGACTGTCCCAACAGCACCAGAATAGACCCCAGGTCTGCTGCATCCCACTTCAGTACATTATCCACTAGTCCACACTGCTTCCCTGGACACTAACTCATCTGCATAGCTGACTTCAGTGCAGGATGAATAGCCCTGGCCTGCTTTATGTGGGTTAGTGTGCGGGAGGCATGTAGCAGTGAGGGCCCAAACCAAGGGTTCCGGGTTTAAGTCACTGCTCTGACACAGACTTCGTGTATGACCGGTCACTTAAGGCTGGATTCAACAAAGGATTTAGGCACCTAGCTGCCCACTTGAAATACCTAAATCCCAGACTCAGGCCCCAATGTAATTCACAAAGTCCCCCGCACAGTAGCCACTGAACTTCACAGGTGCTAAAACTTTCCTGACACCAAAATTCTTGAAGTCAGACCTCCCTGCCCCTGCCTTCGAGCCTACGCATGGCAGCCCCATGCCAGGTGTCCAGCTGCCTGGGCCCCAGAGCGATTCACTAACTGGGGGCAGATGGGCATTCCTCCTAATACACTGGAGGGGCACAACCCTGTAAGTGTGCACTGAGCTCGCCTACCGGATCAGGTCCCCATGGGCGAGCCTACACAAAATGCAGGGCTGGGGTGGGGAGTCCCTGCCTCATAACTTGCAGCCCAGTGGTTAGGGCTGGCTCAAGTCCCCGCTCCACCTGAGGAGAGAAGAAAGGGTTTGAATGCAAGGGGCTGGACTAGAGGACCTTTCGAGGTCCCTTCAAATCCTACACTTCTGTGATTCTGTGAAATGCCCTTTTATAACACTGTTGCATGGGCACCAACTATATAGCACCCATGGGAAAAAAATAGTGGGTGCTCAGCACCCACCAGCAGCCAGCTCCCTGTCTTCCCACCCCAGCTCCTCCCATCTGCCAGCAGCCCTGCCAATCAGCTCCTCCCCGTCCCTCCCAGTGCCTCCCGCCTGCCGCGATCAGCTGTTCCCTAGCCTGCAGGAGGCGCTGGGGGGGGGCAGGGAGAGGAGCGGGGACGCTCGGGGGAGGGGGCAGAATTGGGCAGGAAGAGGTGGGGCAGGGGTGGGGGTTTAGGAGAAGCAGGGGTCTGGGGCCAAGTGGGGGTGGGAAGAGGCGGGGGGAGCTTGGGGGAAGGGGGTGGGTGGGGAACAGGAAAATAGGATCTGGGGAAGGCAGGGGATAAGGTTCGTTAATCATTATTGATAAATAAGCCAGTCCCCTACCATCTAACACACACAAACTCCTCCCATCCCAGCTCCCTCCCCGTCGCCTTCCTGAGGCAGATGGTGCGCTGACATTGCGTGTCCTGAGATGGTGTGTTGTGGTGCCGGCCAGCTTAAACAAAAGTCTCCTTGTCATGGATCCACAGGATTCAGGTTACCTCCCAGCTTTTCCAAAGTTCCTTCAGTGGGCCAGCCCCAATAGGGGTCCCACTCTTCCTTCAGGGCAGGACCCGTGGCCTCAAGGCCTCCGAGACTGAGCCCCATGGCTCCTACCATCCTGCTCAGCAAATCCTCCTGAGATAGACGGCATGTCAGAGACTTGTTCCCTCTTCAGGGCTCGTTGCACCTCCGTAGGGTGACCAGATGTCCCAATTTTATAGGGACAGTCCTGATTTTGGGGTCTTTTTCTTATATAGGCTCCTATTACCCTCCACCCCCTGTCCCGATTTTTCACATTTGCTGTCTGGTCACCCTACTCCATGAGTATTTGCAGAGACAGCAGGCAGCTCTGCCAAGCAGAGCGGGCTTTGTTACTCCGCCGGGACCCAGCACTGGGAAGTCCGTAATTTAGCACAGAGGAGCTTAAGCTATTATCCATATCAGCCAAGTCAGGGCTCCCTTGAGCCGTGCCACTGATGAAACTGTCTTGGCTTCCTCCCTTTGTCGCCCAATCCCAGGGGAGCTCCCCAGTCTCTACAAAAGCCAGGTCTTATTCTAGGTTCCTGTCACCCTTTGGTCCATGGTCCTCCTCCTGCAGACCCCTGCTGAGTTCACACGCTCTGCCTGCCTGGAGCATCCCATCGTTAGGTGTCAATTGTGCAGTCACTGGGGCTTCCATTGTCTTCATCGGGACTTTTAGCCAGTCCTTTAACGACCTGCTCATTCCACCCCAGACAGTCTTGTGACCTGCACATCCTCAAACCTCCCACTCTGCCCCACGAGCGGCTCTTTAATCCTTTAGCACCCCATTTTGTAGCAATTCCTAGTCAAGTCCATCCCTGCCATGCATATCGCGCATTAAAATACTACAGAAAATTCCCACTTCCTCACCCGCCTTTCTTTATCTTCACCCTGGGGTGAGGTCCTCTTCTGACTCCAGCCAGGCTCACTGGTTCCCCCAATCTGGACTCCTCCTGGGGTCTCAGTGGGCTCTCAGTAGACAGTGCCGGTCGGATGCTGGATGCTGGAGACGGCGGTGCTGGAGCTGCCGGATCTGTGCATCTAGAATCTCAGAGCAGGGCAACCTCACTTCCGGGAGAAGGGGGAATTCAGCCGGGACTCGCCGAGCTGTGCTGTCACTCTCCCAGCATCCACACTCAACCCTCCGTGCTGGGAACTGGAATGAGTTGGGAAGGGGGGGGGCATCTGAATTGTCATCCTTTTTTGGTGGGACCTCTTAGAAGCCCAGACCAGGGAAAGGGCAATGAGAGCTGAGACAGTGGAGTCCTTGTCTGCTGACTATAGGGTCCCTGGGCTGGAAATTAAAAGCAGCCAGACTGGGTCAGACCAATGGTCCCTCCAGCCCAGTGTCCTGTCTTCCAACAGTGGCCACTGTCAGGTGCTTCAGAGGGAATGAACAGAACAGGGCGACTATCGAGTGATCTATCCCCTGTCGTCCAGTCCCAGCCTCTGGCAGTCAGAGGTTTACGTACACCCAGAGCATGGGGTTGGTCCTAGATCATCTTGGCTAATATCTATTGATGGACCAATCCTCCAGGAACTTATCTCGTTCTTTTCTGAACCCAGTTATAGTTTTGGCCTTCCCATCGTCCCCTCGCAAGGAGTTCCACAGGTTGATTGGAACCTGAGGTAGTGGGAGGACCCGGGTTTCCCTACCAGCCATTGGGAAGTGCTGCAGGACTCATGAAAGTCACCCAGAGAGCTGGTCCAGTGAGACTTTGATATCCCAGAAAGGGAAAACTACATAGTGACCAGGCCGGAGGGCTAAGTCACAAAGAGAGAACACCCTGAGTCCCAGAGAGCAAGAGGGGCCATGGGGGGAGTGAGCAAAGGCAGGGGGTGCTAGACCAGGCAAGAGCTGATCCCCAGACCCATCACAAAGGGGCATGCCCAATGGTGAGTGAGTGAACCCTGTTACTGGTGGTCACAAGACATGTAGGCCCCACCCCTGCTGCCTGCCACCACCTCACTGCACAGCATCTGCCGTGCAGCGCTGTGACCTGTCAGCACGTTCTCACCACAGTACAGGAGAAAGGGGGCTGACCCGAGCCAAAACCAGCCCATGTACTCAGGTCCCACTGGGCTGCAGGGCTCTGTCTAGTACCCCCGGGGGTTGTGTGAACAGAGGTGAGCCCAAAGGTGGGGGCACAGCATGAAGGCATTTGGGAGCCGCTGGTTTACAAAAGAGGAAGTTCCTCGCCCTGGGGGCTGCAGAGAAAACCATGAAACCGTGACCTAAGCGAGCACCTGAAACTCAGAAACCAGGAAGGTGAAGAAATCTATTTATTTATTAATCTCATGATGGTTTTAGCCAGTCTTGTGGGGGTTTTTTTGCCCGCCTCACACATTGTTGAGCTTATGCTCAAATAAATTGGTTAGTCTCTAAGGTGCCACAAGTACTCCTTTTCACACTGTTTTTGAACATTCAGAGTTGGCAGTACTAGGGAGAGGGGAGGCAGTGCAGCCTAGTGGCGAGCACAGCATCCCAGGACTCAGCAGACCTGGGACCTCGTCCCCAGCTCTGCCTCTGAGTGCAAGTCAAGGCACTGCTCTGTGCCTCAGTTTACCCATCTGTAAAATGCAGCTAATGATACTGACCTCCTTGGTCAAGCAGTTTGGGCTCCTCTGACAAAAAGTGCTGTTTAAGAGTTAGCGGTATTATCTTACCCCAGGGCAATGGACTTGGCTGGGGGTGCTACTGCACTATAAATAACATCATCCAATCTAAGACGTGTGCAGCCAATTATTTCAGTCCCTAATATGTTTTAAGTATACTTATGTTTTAAGTTACATTTGTATTGAATTATAATGTTAGCTGTGTATTAATGTATAATTAGTATGTGATGGGGGGTTCTTAATTTTCAATAGTGTTCACCCCATCAAAGCCAATAATTTCATTTAATGGATTTATTGTTTTGGTTAGGTATAATCAATTAATGAGTGATGATATTAAGTATCAGAGTAACAGCCATGTTAGTCTGTATTCGCAAAAAGCAAAGGAGGACTTGTGGCACCTTAGAGACTAACCAATTTATTTGAGCATAAGCTTTCATGAGCTACAGCTCACTTCATCGGATGCATCTGATGCAGTGAGCTGTAGCTCACGAAAGCTTATGCTCAAATAAATTGGTTAGTCTCTAAGGTGCCACAAGTACTCCTTTTCTTTTTGCAAATACAGACTAACACGGCTGTTACTCTGAAACCTATGGTAGGAGTGGCCATAACACAGGATAAAAACATTTCCCTGATCCAGATAGGGTAGGAAGACCCCATCAGGAGACTCACACACACACACTTCCACTGATGACAACCCTTTGAGAGATCCACCTGACTCTATAATATCTTTGGGGATGTGAGTATGAATACACTGCTGGCTATTGTATGGGCCCTCTCAGGTTTTGTATACGTGTTTGTGATTGTAACCTGAATTATCTGCACAATGAAGCTTATAATACAGAGAAAATTCCCTAAATTCAATGTAAATAAAGGCCACATGTGAAACCTGTGCTAACAGCCCCAGGCTACTCATGATGGCTTGTTTCCATGGCTAGTAAAACCTCAGGCTCCACTCCTGGTGAAAAATTCTTCCATGCTAACCACACAGTCGGAAAACAGCATCCTTTTGGGTGGAGAGTGACCACCTTTCCTGGACGGAAATAGGGGAAAGCCACATGAGAAACAAGGGACAATGCTTTATTTGAAGGGATGTCTTAGGGAAACACCGTTTCTCTTGGCATATCATATTTTTTCTCTCACACGTACATTTCTACTGTCCAATGCAATTAGCATAAGCTTCAATTTAATGTTTAAATGGTACTTTATCATATTTAATACATTTTAATACATCTTATCATAAAGGACAGGTGGTCTCTCTAAGAGACAAATCAATTAAACCAGGGACGGTCCCTTAAAATAAAGGACATGTGGTCACCCTACTTGGGTGCATACTATTACCGGATATCACTGTTGCAGTTAATTTCTTACCATTAGCAAGGATTCATGTATTCCACGCCGAGCGGTGTCCCGATTCTGCTGCATAATCGCATGGCTTCTGTAGCCTGGCTGCCTGGATTCTGCAGCAATCCGGTGTGCCAGGCTGGAAATTTTACATCAGCTTTGCCGTTATGCTGGAGGGAGTTAGTGGCTGCCAATAGGTGGGTCTCCGGTCCAAGAACAATCACAGCGCATCAGAAGGCTCAATCTAGTCCCTTTATGTGGTTAAAAACAGCTGGGGTGGGCAGGGGAAAGAGGTGGGTAGCAACCACCCAAGGCACCAGACCGTATGGCCGGGCGGAGCTAAGTCGTGCAGATGGAGGGCTGTCCCTGCTTGCAGATATGGGGCCTGGGATATGGGGCGCAGGCTGTGGGGCTTGGGGGCAGGAAGCCGGGAGGGGGAGTGTGACTCTGAGAGGAAGCAGGGACGGAGCTTCTTGGGGACAGAGCTTGCTGGAGGGGCAGACGTGGCGATTTCGCAGCCAGGAAGCTGCCTGCTGCGGTTTGTTTCTACTCTCTTCAAGGACACCGGACTTTTTTTTTCAGTAAATAGAGATTACACCAAGAATATCCCTGACTCGTCTCATCCATTTCTCTCCCTGATGGAAACAAGGCCTCAAGTTTTGGCTAACTGCTCCGGCCAACTCGGCAGCAATATTTAAATTCTTTTCAGTGGAGGAGTGTCGCAAAATAAATAGGAGATTGGCACAGTGGGCTGCCTTATTTATTGTGATGTTCCATTCATTTCACATGGTCTTCACATTTGCAATGTTCTGCAGAACCCTGTATTGAGAAGGCATAACTAGAAGGCATGTGGTGGAAGCCGGGGAGTGTGGCAGCTGGGCAGGTAACACATATGGCTTTTGTCACCTGGTGAGCAGGGCCGGATTAACTTTTTGTGGGCCCGGCACCAAACATAATTGTGGGCCCCCCGGGAAATGATTGTAAAAGGGGCCGGGGGCAAAAGCACAGCGGGGCGGGAGCTAGGGTTGGTCCCTGGAGCAAGGGAGGGGCCAGGGGTAAACTGCAAGTGCAGCAGGGCTGGGGAGGGGGTAAACAGGATCCCCCACGCGCCCCTGCCCACATAGAGCGGGTACCTACCTGGTTCTAGCCCAGTCTCTTCGTCTCTCTCTGCACAGAGCTGCCCCCTCCCGCAGCAGCAGGACCGGTTCTCTTCCAGTCCTCTGGGGTGGGTGTTAGGAGTGGGAGAAGCGGAGGCTAATGTGGTTACTCCTATAACTGGACTTTTAGTTTCCAGTCAGCACTGCTAACCGGACACTCAGGTCCTGTTTTCTACTGGAGTTTCCAGTCTAAAACTGGATACCTGGCAACAGGGCTGCCAGAAATGCCCGGGGGGGGGCGGGGGGGGGCAAGGGCAAGCAATCATTTTTAAGCGGGGTGGGGAAGCAAGTGGTGGGTGGGCTAGGGAGTGGAGAGGAGCTAGTGGGCAGGGCCATGTCTGCTGTACTGCCCAGGTAGGTTGGAGACTGTGCGGATCAGCTGACACAGTATCCCCAGCCCAGGTGACGTGACCGCCAGGGGTGGATTTAGAGTTAATGGGGCCCCCCGGCCCTGAGCTGAGCTTCATTTTTGGGGCCCCTCCATGGGACCCAGCCAAGAAAAAAGAACATTCTCTCTTATCTCCCCCCCCACCCCCGTTTTTCATTCTTTTTTTCTTCATCCTCCTCCTATAAGTAATAGCAAGTAAATGAAAATAAAGTGAGGCACCTTGGTTGTTCCTGGTAGTCTCACTTATTTTTCCACAGACCACTGGAAAAATCACTGGGGGTTTCAACGGACCATTTAATGATCTTTCCACATATTGTTTCTACCGTTAGCTAACTATTGTAAAGCGCTTTGGATAAGAGCGCTTTAGAAAAAAGATGTAAAAAACATTGGAGTGTGGGGTCTGGCCAGGAGCTAGGGCGAGGGAGGGGGCTCAGGGTTGGGGCAGGAGGTTGGGGTGTGGAGCGCTTACCTGGGGCAGCTCCTGCTTAGTGTGAGGGGTGCAGGTGGGAATGGGGGTGTGTGCAGGAGCTGCCGTTTGGTGCTCAGGGTGGGGGAGGGTGCAGGAGTCAGGGCATGGAGTGTGGGGGGGAGCTGGGTATGTGTGGGGGGTGCAGGAGTCAGGACAGGGGGCTGGGGAGGTGTGAGGAGGTGCAGGGGTCAGGGCAGGGGGCTGGGGGTGTGGGCTGGGGTCGTGGGGGTGCTCACAGCAAGGGGCTGGAGGGGGTAGCCCCGATTCCAGCCCCTTCCCCAGGTTCCACCCCCGCCTCTTCTCCACCTTCTCCTCCTCCCTGGAGCAGTGAGCATGCTGAGGCTCTGCTCTTCCCTCTCCCTCCTGCCAGCAAACAGCTGATCGGCGGCAGGGAGACGGGGAGGGGAGGGAACGCAGCACGCCAGGAGAAGAGGCGGGGGAGGAGCTTGGCTGCCCGTGGAGTCTGCCCTGCTGCAGCAGGAGCCGGCAGAATCAAGCTTCTGCCCCCACAGGAGAGAGCAGGGGGCAGAGAAGAGCGGGCCAGGCCAGGACCCCTTTGGACTGTAGGCCTGGCGCCATGGTAAATCCAGTACTGCTGGTGAGACATAGGAGCTGATTGGGATAAGCATAGTCACCGGCTGTTTCTTGAAAAGTGATCCGTAATGTCGTAGAACAGCACTGAAATTTAAATAATCATCATTAGGTTTCAGAGTTAACATCCATTTGAACTGTATAGAGACCATTCCTGTTCCTCAGAGTTATGCTGTCTGCGGATTCACTGCATTGGTTGTCTCAAAATTACTTTCACCTCCACAAAGGATGGAAATATATATTGATGACAGCTTGGATTCAAAAAGATAGTTCGAAGGCAAGTGGTGAGAGAAAAACAAATTCCACGGAAATTGTAATGAAATCACACAAAACAGAGCTCTGGCATTGTGTTCCCAATATGTCTGGCTAGAGCAGATTCAGAGATAGTAACAGGTGCTGGCTTGATTGTCCTGGGAATTAACATGCTTTCATTTTTCAACACACACGATGCTGGGGAACCGTCAGTACTGATGGAAATAAACCTGAGGTTTAAGTTGCAGAGACACTCTCTAGGTGGGAGAGGTTAGTGCAGAGTGCGTGAAACTCTCCACTGAAACTTTTTGCTGGTGTTTTTGACTAAATGAAACATTTTGTTTTGTTGAAAAAAACAAAAATTTTTGGCCACCCCTCCCCTCCAAAAAATGTGATTGTTCGATGAAAAATTGAAATTTTCCTTGCGTAAAAGTATAACCATCTTCTGAGCCACTCTAGTGCAGAGAACAAGGTCATTCTGTACATGTTTCAATTCAGTATTGTAACTCTCTTCCCAGAGTTATAGATTTTTAAGGCCAGGAGAGACCTTTAGATGATCCAGTCTGACTGGTTGTACAGCACAGACCAGTGAATTTCACCCAATTACCCTGTATCAAGCCCAGTCACTTGTGTTTAACTGAAATATGTCTTCCCGAAAGTCATCCAGTACTGATCTGAGGACATCAAGCAATGGCAAATCCACTTCCAATGGTTAATCACCCTCACCAATACAAACATGTACCTAATTTCTAATTTGGATTTGCCATCTTCTGCCCATTGGTTCTTGCTCTGCTTTTCTGCACTAGATTATACAGCCCTTTATTACCCATCGGGGTATGGAAATTGTATGGCGGGCCATGAATACTCACAAAATTGGGGGTTGAGGGGTGGGAGGGGGTGAGGGCTTCGGCTGGGGGTGTGGGCTCTGGGGTGGGGCAAGAAATGAAGAGATCAGGGTGCGGGAGGGGGCTCTGGGCTGGGGCAGGGAGTTGGGGTGGGGGAGCGGAGGGCTCCAGCTGGGGAGGCGGGGCTGAGCAGGGGGTTGGGGTGTGGGAGGAGGTTGGGGTGCAGGAGGGTGCTCCGGGCTGGGACAAGGGGTTTGGAGGGCAGGAGGGGGATCAGGGCTGGGTCAGGTGGTTGGGGCATGGAAGGGGGTCAGAGGTGCAGGCTCTGGGTGGTGCTTACCTCAAGCAGCTCCCAGAAGCAGCGGCATGTCCCGCCTCCGGCTCTTATGTGGAGGCACGGCCAGGCAGCTCTGCACGCTGCCCTGTCCGCAGGCACTGTCCCTACTGCTCCCATTGGCTGTGGTTCCCAGCCAATGGGAGCTGTGGGGGCGGCACTTGGGGTGGGAGCAGAATGCAGAGCTTCCAGGCAGCTACTATAGGTAGGACCCAGAGGGGGGGCATGCTGCTGCTTCTGGGAGCCATGCGGCGTGGGGCAAACCTCCTACCCTGCTCCCCAGATGGAGTGCCAGAGCACCAGAGCGGGGAAAGCCCCAGACCCTGCTCCCCAGCGGAAGCTTAAGGGCCGGATTAAAACATCTGTAGGGCTGGATGTGGCTCCCGGGCCACAGTTTGCCCACCCCTGCCTTAACTCATTACTGTGGTTCTCTCTGCACCCTCTCCAGTTTCCACTAGGGGTCTCTGCTGGCATAGCTATACTGGCCAAGGCTCTGTAGTGTAGACAAGCCCTAAATCCACTTTGGAATGAGAGTGTCCACCCCTGCAGGAGCTTACTGTGCTTTAATTTATGCACATCAACTTCCCCTGTAGTTAATTCATCTCAACAAGCCCTGAGAATGGACTCACGCTCAGAGAAATGTCCCCAGGATCTGGCTCTTTGACATGAAGTCCTCCATTTACTTACCCAAAGCGGAAAAGCAAATACTTAAGACCTTTTCCCCTTAACCAGGCTTGGGCATCCCTTTTAAAAAAGCCAGGAGCAGAAGCGAAGGCTGGTGCGGGCGAAAGCTTTGCACAGAAGGAAACCTGCGGCTGGGCTTAAGAGCAGGTCTGCTGAGCCCCTCAGCCTCTCGGGCAGTCGAGCCCCGAGGCCTGGCTTGAGAAACTAGATAGGGGCGAGGCCACTTTTCTCAGGAAGCATGACTGGGGAGGTAAAGGGCTCAGCCGGTTGGAGAGGTGATGTGTGTATTAGCTAAGAGGAGGTGGACAGTTTACAATAGAGAAGATAACAATGGACCACATACATACGCAATGTAAGGGGAGGTAAAGCGGAAGTAGTGTGTAGACAGAGCACGCTGTATGGGAACCGGCCCCGACAACGTAATGACCTGTGACGTAACGCAGTAATTCTCAATCCAGGGTCCAGGGCCCCCTAGCAGGCCTCGAGCAGGTTTCACTGCGGCCTCCGAGGAGGGCCAGCGTTAGACTCGCTGGGGCCCAGGGCAGAAAGCTGAAGCCCACCGCATGAGGCTGAAGCCCGGGGCACTGAGCCCAGCCACTGGGGGCTGACACTGAAGGCCGAGCAATGTAGCTTTGTGGGGGGCGCCGGGGCATGGGGCCCCCAGGCAACCACCCTGCTTGCTACCCCTTAATGCCAGCCCTG